CACAGCACAGCAGAGGCCCTTTGATACATACACCCTGAAAGGCGCTCACATCCTGTACACCCTTGCATCTGCATGCACGGGCAGCCTGGGCTGTGCTGTGGGAATGGTATGGGAAAAGATGTCTAGAATCTATACGCCAAAAGGCGTCTCAAAAGTATACGCCAAATGTCGCTCGGGATCCTGTAGCAAACGCCTTTTGGCGTATACATTTGAGACACCCCAAAATTACAGTGTACTCATGTCAGCTCGTGTCGCTAGCCGGGCGATGGCGGAGATAGTACCGATCGGGGCGGGCCTAACACCAAACCCATCGAGAATATCAATTATTCATGGCTCGACTCCCATTATCATTGCATCTCAAAACTCCGCGAGAGGCGGGCTTCCATTACCACCCCCCTCCCCTCCCGCTCCAAGAGAGCCCGCTGCCGTGTTTTCGCCTCTGACACCCGCGACCCCCCTCCTCCTCCGCATCGAAAACGCACCCCGGAAAAGTAAACAAACACGCAAAGCCCTCCGCCGTCCCGGTCAGCCCGCCCGGGTCAGCCCCAGGGAGGGTTACTGAGGGTGGGGGCGGTAAGCGGGCGGACAGGGAAGTGAACAGAGCAGACAGTCGAGCGCAGCTCCCCCCCCCCCTCAATTTTCTCTTCCCCCAGACCCCGGCATCCGGAAGGCCTTCCCCTTTGTGAGGGAGGGAGGGGGGCTGAACTGAACAGCAGGGCTAGGAAGGTGGCGGCGGCGGCGTCTGGGGAGACCGGACCGCCACGTCGCGGGGCCTCGCTCGCCCGCCCGCTCCGGGGTGTCGGCCCGAATGACACGGAGGGTTGTTGGTCGATGGCTGGCGGGGCGCGGGTGGCGCGAGGCGTGGGGCGCGTGGAGGGCCCGGGTGGCGTCCGGCCGGGCGGCGGGGCGACCGCCCTCAGTCGTGCCCCGACGCTCGCGCTCGCCACCCACCCACACCGTCAGGGGCCGGCAGGTCAGCCGAGTTGTGCGTTCGAGTCTCTTAGCCTTCGCTCGTCGCGTCACGCCGCCCTTGGCGGACCTCCATCTCGCGGACCCCAAGCAGTCCCCCCCCCCCCCGGAGTCTTCGCCGTCCTCGAGCACGACGTGATCCTGGTCCGCGCCGAGGCCTTTGACCCGACAGCGGCACGCCCCGCAGGACAAAGGGCAGTGACATGCACCCTCGAAATCAATGCCTTGCTCGCACTGCGCCGCTGCCGCCCGCAGTCCGGGACCAACAACAACAACGATAGCAGCAGACGACGCGTAGCCACCGAGGCCGCCGTCGGGGACCGCTGAACCGCCAGGACGGCGTCGTCGCCATGTCGCAGGCCGAGCTGCTCGCCCTGCTCAACCCCACGGCCAACAGCAGCCAGTACCGGTCCACAGCCGCGCTCGTCGTGGAGAGGCGCATCGGCAAGGGCCAGTTCAGCGTCGTGTACCGGGCCCGCTCCAAGGCGGATGGCAGCGTGGTCGCCCTCAAGAAGGTGCTCATCTTCGACATGATGGACGCCAAGGCGCGGGTGGACTGCGTTAAGGAGACCAACCTGCTCCAGGTTAGTTGCTTTTTTCAAATAATGACAATTTTTTTTTTTTCATTTGTTAAAAATATACCGAAAAAATTTAATTGCTTTAATTCTGAATGTTGTTACTTGACAACTATTTTTTTACAACAGCAACTAGATCATCCAAATGTTATTCGATATCTGGCATCATTTATTGAAAACGATGAACTAAATATAGTCCTGGAGTTGGCAGACGCAGGGGACCTCCTGAGAATGATTAAACACTTTCGTCGGCACAGGCGACTCATTCCAGAGCGGACCATATGGAAATATTTTGTACAGCTTTGCAGTGCAGTTGATCACATGCATTCGAAACGCATAATGCACAGAGGTAAAACTACTACGCAAGTTTAAGTTAAATAATTTTAAGTCAGTTAAAATTTTAAAATCCTTTTCTTTTCTCTTTATAGACATCAAACCTGCAAATGTATTCATCACAGCATCAGGGGTGATAAAATTGGGGGATCTCGGTCTGGGGAGGTTCTTCAGTTCAAAAACTGTGGCTGCCCATTCGCTTGTTGGCACACCTTACTATATGAGTCCAGAGCGAATTCACGAACATGGTTATAATTTTAAAAGTGACATTTGGTCACTTGGCTGTCTACTCTATGAGGTAGCACTAAGTTGCACAAAATATATGACATGATTAACTCTGTTTAGAGCAATGTATTAATTTCATTTTGGTTTACAGATGGCTGCTCTCCAGTCCCCATTTTATGGTGACAAAATGAACCTGTACACCCTATGTATGAAGATTGAAGAGTGTGATTATCCACCCCTCCCGAGCAGTGTGTATTCAGACAGTGTAAGCCAGCAACTAAATTTCATTCTTGAAACTCTGAAAAATATTGCTCTCTACTTGAACTCACATATTATACATCACTCTTTACAGTTAAGAAGTCTAGTGGCTGCAAGTATCACAGCCAACCCAAACGATCGACCAGACATTGGCCACATGTACAGTATTGCACGAACTATGAACAATCAATATAACAGTAAAACGACCAGCGGAGGGAACAGGCCAGGAGCTGGGAGCAGCACCTCAACAGGCTCTCAGAGTAGGCTGGCAACAGTATCCGGTCATCGGACACCAAAGTCTGGAGGACTCTTGCCCCTCTCACCGCTTCCCACACCACTGATGCAGCCCACAGCCCATGTGCATCGCAGAATAAGCAACGTTTCAATGACGCGTGAGCACCGTGAGACACTGTTTCCCCCTTTGATTGAAAAAAACAGTGATTTGTAATATTTTTTATAGTATGTGCGAAAGAAAATCAAATGCCATGGTTATTTTAAGGTATCTCCTATTTTTAAAAGACCAACTCATATTTTGTTTATGTTTAAACAGAACCTCAATGTAGTTGTTTTTGCAAACTTGATTTTAAAAGAACATGGGAATTGAAGGAAGGCTCATCATCATGATATAATTAAAATTATAAGAAGCACTAATGATTACATTATAATTATTTTGAGCATTCAATGGCATGATGTTAATAAAAATATCAATTATAATTGGGATTCACATTTCATTTTCAAGTCAATTTTCGTCCTCCACTGACCTCTGTGTTGTGCAGAAGGATCAAGTAGTTCAGGATGCAGCAAATTTCCCGATCTTTCAGCCATAATGTTAAACTTTGTGGGTCCTCAAGTATCGACAATAAAGCTGTAGACATATCAAAACATGAAAGATCCATGGAAAGGCAGAAATCTAATTCTACAGCCATGAGTACTGACCCAGAAGAAACTTAGGCTTCTCTAAATTAAGCTGAATGATTTCACTTGCCATCATCGCTTTAAACATTGAACCATGGGGATCCAGATGTTTGCTCTGAGTTGCTGCACTGGCATTTGGACTGTCTTTCAGTAAGGCAACTGCTTCTTTAATGTTGTTATCAGTCTCCCTTAGGGCCCTTTCAATATCTGTTGCTTTAAATCCCATTTGTTTTAAACGTTCAACAAGTTTCAAATCCAATTTAATATTTTCTTGCCTTCTGCTCAGGGCAGCTTGCATTAGATTTTGAAATTCTTCCAATACAGTCATTGGCTTTGCCTGACTAGAAGATGGTTCCTCTGCTTGGTCAGCCTCTTTTGAGTTAGAACTCTGCTCAAGCAGCCACTCCATAGCCTCATTAACATTCATCCTAGAAAATTTTGGAAATAGTGGTTGAGGAACTCTTAGGATCTCATTCTTACAGACAAGGTGTGATTGACTATCTAAAATCAGATCAGAGAGCAGCGATTTACTTACTTTTTGTCTGTTAGTGCTTTCACAACCAGCCTCTCTGAGAAACCCATGTCTGTGAGTTGTTTGACATACGGGCTATGAATAGGTATGTCCTTCTTTGAATTCCACTCCTTTTTTACCTGTTGTAAAACTTCCATACCGTTTGGGGTAAAATTCAGAAGTTGTGCTCCTGTCTCAATTAAGGATATAAAAATGCGGGGACTGTCCTTGGAGAAACGTTCAGCATACTGTTCACAAAAATGGCCAAACAATTTCAAACAGTGTTAACGTACCAAAAATAAAATCTCATAAAGCTTTGTCAATAAACCTTACATCTAGGTCATCCTCTGCTTCAGATGATTTCTGTCCAGACCTTTCAGAATTTTGCATTGCTAAATGTTTAGTGGCCTCATTGATTTCAAATGATGTTGGCCCTCTTAAATCAGGTGCAGAGCGTTTCGGAGGAATTCGACACTCTACTAAAAGGATTTCATCTTATTTTATTAATTTTTTTAAATTAGAAAAAAAAAAAAAACACATTTTGTAAAAAAAAAGCTCATTTGAAAAAAAAAAATAAAAAATACAGTATATGCCAAATGAAACATTTGAAGAATTTACCATTATCTTTCAGCTCCTCTTCTGAAACTGTCATGTCCCATGATAAAACTGCTCTAGTCCTGACAAGAACCATCCTGAATCGCGAAAGCTTGGATGAGGACTGTAAACCAGAACCATGAAAGTGTGACACAGCCAACGCAGTTAGTTTGCTGATCTTGGCACTAGTACTGATTTTGGCCCTCCAAACTGCACCAGAGTTAATAACAACAATTTTTAAATGATCACTTTCAGAGGAACTCATTCCTCAGAACAAAAACTAACTGTATTGTTGTATTATTTTTTATTTATTTAAATTAACTGGGGAAAAAAGCAATGTGAAAAGAAAGTCAAAGGGAGACAAAGTTAAATGCACTTTCTAAGTGCTCAATTTACAGTTTTGAATTTAAAACAATATCATTTGTTGCAAAGTGACCAACATTGTCAAGGCATTTTTCTATCTTGTGCCCGCACGGTCAGCTAAACAAATTCATGCATGAGAGTAAATCTACCCTGCACCATGCAATTTTGGCAGTTTTGACATGGCTGCAGCGTTAACAACTTCCTGCCGATCTTGAACAAATATACAGCAAGAGATTGGTATTGCTGAAAGGGCTGAAAGTTAAAGCCTGCGTTCGAAAACACCAAGCGTTGCCAATGGCAACGCACAAGAAGAGGGCGGTAGTACTCCGCACGCAGCCCGCTGCATCCAGCTGATCTACTGAGCCAGCTGCAGCATCTGATTTCCCCGTCATCTCGCATCAGCCGGAAGCAAAGGACACCCACCTGCCGACTCCGCTGACTCCGAGACATTGACAAGACATCTTCCTCAACCCCGCGTTTCGAGAGGTCATTGATTCCATCAGGAAGTTTTATTATGGTCTCAACTGAACCAGTTCGACCATCGCGCCTCGCGTGCCAAAGCTTGCACCGGCTCGTGGCACCTGACGAACATGTGCGAGTCCGGGAGCGAGTTGGCAGATAACTGCTGGAAAAAGCAGTTTACAGAGCTGTGCGGCTTGCTTTCAAGTGGTGAGTCAAATGATGACATCACCTCAATTCTGTTGCACACACACTAATTAATTCAACTGATCTGTTAGCCGAAACTGCTCTGTCAAATAATTATAGTATTTCATGTGCCACATTCATTCATTTGATCTTTGTTTACTGAGGGTTTTATGAATATTTTCCATTTTGTGTAAATAGGGCATCCAGTCAATCAAATAGATGGGTCTGGTTTAACTCCACTTCAGATTTGTGCATCGTTGGGTTGGTCGAAGGCAGTCTTGTTACTGTTAAAATATGGAGCTGACGTTCATGCCACCTCCCCTCTTGGTTGGACAGCTCTTATGCAAGCTGTGGCCAATGGGCATACAGACACCTCAAGGATATTACTCAGTGCGGGAGCCAGAATATCTGACCAAAACTTTTATGGTGAGATATA